GTGAGAGCTTCTTCAGGCGAAATACCTTTAGGACTCTTCTTTGCCAAATGACCTTCTTAATAGCAGTACCTCTTTCTGGAGAAGCACTTAAAAGCTAATTAAGTAGCGTAGCTATAAAATCCCGTTAATTTTTCGCAATTTTTTTTTGCTGGCAGTGTTCTCCAAATAAAAGAAAATCGTCCAACATACTTTTGTATGGAAAAAACGTGAAACACCTTCAATAAAAAAAAAATTAATTTTGTTAGCTGGCTGCAAAGGTTTTTTGATGTTGGCTGTCGCTTCACCTGAACATATGAAAAGTAATTCTAAAGAATCGGCGAAAAAAGGCTGATGCCGATGTTAAATTTTGTGCCGATACTAGCCGATGCCGACGCCGATTAATCGGTCGGACTCTAGCACTTATAGCTGAACAATATTTTTACGAAAACTCGTTCTCAATAAGCTCTCTATATTTAAGACAACTACTTATATAACTGCAGTCAATGATAGTTATAACCGTTAAGAATCTCGAAAATCTTTTGCAGGTCCAAAACGTTGTCACCAAAACAATCAAACCGAAATTTTTTGTACAGAGGACATACTCCAATCAAATGATAGGTTTCTTCAATAGCACTTAAATTGCAAACTGAGCAGTTTACAGAAGCGACATTTTTTAAAAGATCTTGCAATAAGAGTTAGCAAGCCACTCCTTGCGCGGAAAATCATCGTTAAAGTAAGTAGAAACCGTAGGTGAAGTTAGCAAACTCTTTTTCAATCAATATCCATATTAACACTTTCATAATCTGACAAAATATTTTTTATTTTCTGTTTTATTTCAACATATACCTTGTTTATACCTACGAAAACAAAAAACAGATTTGATTCAACACATACATATGTATTTCTTTCTAACATTTATTCCTCAGTCTTTATACCCCACTCGATAAAACCGTATTGAAAAGTAAACAAACTCCGTTAATTTTATTCGACATGTAGTTAATAATAAATTTCCGCGGTGGACCGAAAAGGAACAGTAATACAAGTTTATTATAATAACAAATACAATTAAAAACGGGCTGTATAAAGAAAAAAGCAGCGTTAAATGAATTATTCATTTATACGGGTTTTCTAACCGATGTGAG